TTTCACAATAGAACCACGTTAAGTCTCCATCAGCAAAACGTCTCCATATTAACTAACCGCGTTAAATCTGTGTACGTCACTGAAGAGGTGTTTACTACATTCAGCGATGGTGAAAACGTGATGTTTTTTTAAACATCAGTCAATATAAGCAGCGGAATCACCACCCGCTGCTGCAACTAGCTGCTCCAAACATTAGCATGCTAATGCACATGGCGGTGCAGCAAGGAAAATGTCCCCTGGGGAACAACAGTTCACTGGCAGCCGTGACGAAACGTTCCGCTATTTAAACAGGAATGTCCAGTATTCAAAAAATTCATATCATAACAAAAATTAAAACCGGTATTCGGTACTAAACGGTATACCGCCCAGCACTGGTAAATATACTCAATACTTCAAATTATATGTCCTCTTGTCAAGGACACTCCTTCACATGATGCCATAAAAACAAAACACATCAGTATAATCTGGTTAACATGACCCACTACCTTGAGATCGAGGGAAGTGTCCTCCATTTACACAAAAGCAATGCTTGACATTAAGCAACCCTCTCAGTCACCTCACCTGCCTCATGCTGACTGACCAATAAGGAGAAGATCTCAACTCACCTTCACAGTGACAGGCAGCCTTCTGTGCAGCACAAGAGCTCCAACAGACAGTTCAACAAAAGCAGGAGAAAAACAGATATTTTGCTGGTGCCTTCATTCAACGGTGTAACCATCAGCTCAGAAGAGAGGGGACACATTTTTTAGAGGTCTATTGAGTGATTTATCATCCTCTCTTATTAAATCACACCTCTCCTTAGTGGCTAAAACACATACAATTACTGACAGCCTCAGTACAGTTCCACTGACTGACTTTAGTTCTTTAAATTATTTATTAACAAAATCTAAAGTTTTAGCAGCCAAAAGGTTGCCAGATGGAAAACACCATTACTATAAGCAAACAGACTTGAATAAGAACACTACCGATACTGTCCACTGGTAGTGTCTGTGACAACATGGAGGAGCAGAAACAGACCAAACTGGACAACAGATCACAGCCTCCATAGAAACTAATAGATAAACAGCAGCTGAACTGGATCTGTTTCACAAATTATCTGTCATGTTTTTACAATAAATTAATAATTATGTTAATTTCATTCAACAATCATGTAAAATAGCAGATTTATACCAGAAAAATATATAAGTTATAAATTACAATGATCTAATCCAGATGTGAAGATCAGACTTTAGCTAGTTGAAAAATGATGACTTTCAGCTAGTAATAAAGTATATTTATTATTTCTTCTTACTGTCAAAAAATTTGAATAATAAATATTTACCAGTCACTTAGAAAATGCTCTCTGTATACCTTATGGGATGAAACTTGTCTTTGTATTAGCTAGTTCTCAACAGGTCAGGTTCCTCTAACAGAAACCTAAAAATACATTTATAATATTATTTTACACTCTGTAGGTCTAAATGTTAATCAGAAACATTTATATTATTTTACACTCTGTAGGTC